TTGCTCTAATGAGGCGATTCTGGCATGGGGTGAAGAGCTGCCACACACCCCTTACCTCTCCAGGTCTGGGCTGGGGTACCTCACTCTCCATGACAGGCTGTCCCCTGTTGCAGACATCTTTCAGCTCCCTGAAGGGACCATTCAGCACTGTCCGAATGTCTTGTGGTCGGAAGGCACAGACAGCCGAGATGGAAGCCTCCTCCCTGGAAGAGACATAGGTTGGAGACAGATATCGGAAGAGCACTAGGGAACAAGGCATGCCTTGTCAAATGAGATGACCCATAAGAAATGCATAGGAGCCATGCAGCCAGCTCCTGGGAGAAGCCACCCCCTCTGGAAGATACAGCACTGAAAGGTGCCAGCCCCACGTTATCTCCCACCCTGTAATTCTCCTCCACACCAGGACCCCCTCACCACTGAAAGAAAAAGATGCCATAAAAGATGGGGGCCCCCACTCCAGTCTCAGGTCGAAGAATAGCCATGTCCTGCAGGACACTAGAGGCCCGGCCATCTTCAGGCCCTGGACACCGCAGGTCAGCCTTCAGAAAGGTCGTCCACTTCTTCTGGAGCATCCTCCGGCCCCCAAGGTCCCCCTGGGGTGACAAGAGAATGGGCATTTCTTTTTAGAAGACAAACATTCTATGGAGAATGTGGAGATCAATATGAGTTTACCCCACACAAGGAGAGATGGAAAGACAGACGCATAAAAATGCAATGTAGAGATACAGACAGAGTTAGCAGTAGGGAAGGATACATGAGTAGACAGGGTAAAAATGAAAGGGACTGAGTTCATTGTTGCACTTACAAAGTTCTATACTATGTGCTTTACATACCTTATCTCAGGTAGGCCTCAAAACAACCCTTATAGCTAAGCTTCATCAATATCCTCATCTATAAGGATACTAAAGAGCCTACCTCAAGTCACAGAGGCAGGAAGTAGTGGAGCAGGATCTGGAGCCCAGATCTGTCTACAATTCCCACCTTTCACCTCTACACCTCCTAGGGACACTGTGTCACAAGGGTAGTTATGCAGTTAAAGGGGCTAAAGCCCTTTCCCCATACTCTTCAAGCTCCCAGAAAATAAGTCAAGACACAGAAAATGGAGATAGAGGAGAAATGAAAAGACAGAGACCCAGAGAACAAAAGACAGAGACCAGGCAGAGCAGGAGACAACAGACAGACAGCTGGGATTGGAGTCTCACCGCACACACACGGGCCACCCGAGGAACTTTAAGGCGCTCGTATGAGTCAAAGGCTCGAGAAGTCTCCGTAAAGAAGAAGTAGATTTCCTTGTCTCCATCTTCATCCCCCCACTCAGCTGGCCTCAAG